CTATATACCATCCAAACCAGAACACTTTTTTCATTGAATGGAGCACTGTTAATGGTACCAGTTTCACAGGCATAGCAAGGCTCTCCTGTGAAAACTGGAATGTATGACCATCTGGCTTATACTGATTTATTTCCCTTAAAAACAAGAGCAAATCACATTAGAGATTCGAAGGGGCATAAGTGGAGGTGGATGGAGTATTGGCTGATAATTTAAAACTATTACACTTTTAGCATGAATGCTGATGTCACTGAAGAATACACTGTCACTATACCAAAGGAAAGATACATTTTAGAAATTCAAGATAAGTGCCTTGGTGATAATAATTCATAGCTCACAACATTGATTTGTTACATGCTCATCTCCTTTATGCTTCAGCAACCCTGGGAGATGTCTACTACTATTATCCTCATTGGGGTTTTTACAAGATTAGCAAAAAATAAGAAATCCTCCTATATCTAGACCGTTTACTTGCTTTCAAATGTAACACTATACTGCCTTCATCTGGGCACATTTTATATCTCAGCAATTATCTTTTTGAAAACATAGATACACTGACTGCCTCTATGTCAAAACAAAGCAGCAAGGGACCTGACTTTCCTCTGGGTTGGCGCTCCTAAGTCACGCTCCATGCTTTGCTGCCAACTCCAGTCATTCTGAAAGTGCTCACTGGGGGAAGAAAGGAGCTGCCACAGTATTACTTCAACAATTCTGTCTTCATTTCCAAGTGTGTAATGCCATGACTAGTGTTCTGATTGCAGGATTTTGGTAGATGTCATAGTGGACTCTTTTCTCTGCATGAGCTATGCAATGACACATAAAGCAGCCCTTTCATAAATTTTTCCTTCATGGATCATTGACTTTTAAAAAATATTTATTATGCGGGACTGGGAATGTGGCTTAGTGGTAGAGTGCTCACCTAGCATGCATGAAACCCTGGGTTCCATTCCTCAAAAGCCCGAAATGGTGCCATGCCTCAAGTGGTAAGACTGCAAGCCTTGAGCAAAAGAAATCAGGTGCCAGACCCTGAATTCAAGGACTGGCAAAATTCAAGTTCCCAGGACTGGCAAATATATATATAATCAAATGACTTTATGCACTGATCATCTAGTAGCTTCTTCTAAATGAATGATTGAGAAGATTTTTCAGGTTTTTATATATGAAGTCTATGTTGTATATTTTTCTGAAGCCACCTATTACAATTATTTAATATGTGCCAGGTCCTCTATTAATTGTTTTACATCTTGCTTATTTAATATTAAAAAGATTCCTATGATTTATCATATCTGGTGACATTTCCATAAAGGGATTGAAATACAGAAATAATTGAAATAAATATACTCTAGATATCCTTACCAGAAATGCAGAGTAAAGATTTGAATCAAGTGTTTATTCTGACTTCAAAGCCCTTGAATTAAACTTACCAACACTGCTTGCTTAAAAATGTTGACGTTTGGGGCTGGGAAGGTAGCTCAGTGGTAGAGCGCTTGCCTTGCATGCCAGAGGCCCTGGGTTCAATTCCTCAGCACCACATAAGCAAAAAGAAAAAAGCCGGAAGTGGCGCTGTGGCTCAAGTGGTAGACCACTAGCCTTGAGCTGAAGAGCTGAGGAACAGCGTCCAGACCCAGAGTTCAGGCCCCACGACCGGACCCCCCCCCCCCAAAAAAAAAAAATGTTGACTTTTCTTGCTAAACCACTCTGGAAATCAGTATGGAGGCTCCTCTAAAAAAATTAAACATAGAAGTACCTTACTATCCAGCAATTCTACTTCTAGGCATTTACCCAAAAGATTACAAACCAGGATACAATAAAGCTGCCAGCACAACCATGTTTATGACAGCATTTTTCACCATAGCCAAGGTATGGAATGATCCCAGATGCCCCCCAATGGACAAATGGAACAAGAAAATGTGGTATATATACACAGTGGAATTTTACTTATCCATTACAAAGAATGATATTGTACCAATTGTACCAATGATATTGTACCAATGGAAAGACCTCAAAAGAAATATCTTTCTTTTCTTTTTTCTTTTTTTCTTGTCTGTTGTGGGGCTTGAACTCTGGGCATGGGCGCTGTCCCTCAGCTCTTCAGCTCAAGGCGAGTGCTCTACCACTTGAGCTACAACGCCACTTCCGGTTTTCTGGTGGTTTATTGGAGATAGGAGTCTCACGGTCTCTCCTGCCCGGGCTGGCTTTGAACCGCGATCCTCAGATCTCAGCCTCCTGAGTAGCTAGGATTACAGGCGTGAGCCACCAGCGCCCGGCAAGAAATATCTTAAGTGAAGTTAGGCCCCGAGAGACAAAGCATTCATGTTTTCAAGTTAGAGTTAGCTGAGTAACTCATAAAGTGAATATGTTGGATGGTATGCAGGTGAATACAAATGTATTAACTGAAATATGGTACACTCACAGGGCCCCCAAATATTGTAATTCCTTAGAAAGGCAAAATCAGAGTTCAGCAAAATAAAATACCAGGAATTGGGGACTCAAAAGTGATGATGTGGGGTCAAAGGAAAAGGGGGAGATGAATGAAGAAGAGGTGGAGAATAGAGTCAAGAATCCAGGGTATATCCTACAACATGAAGAATGAGGGTAAGGGCGAATTGAGGAGGAATGAGTATGAATGTTGAAAAGAATGACATTGATGAAAATACTGTATTCATAAACTGTGTTGCTAAATGACAACTTCTTTGTAGAATTACTTATAGATGATAGTAAAAATAAAGAAGAAAAGAATTTTTGACTTTCAAAAATGAAATAGTGACTACAGATTAGGTGTGAACTGAGTTATCTAGATGTCATACGAGTCTGAGTTTTCTGCTAGACAGTTTATTAGTCTTCACAGATCATCTACATATATATAATTGTAACCACTAGAGCTATAAGTGCTTTGAGTCACAAAGTTTTTATGTTCCAGCACAAATGAGATTTGTTCATGACTGGTTTCCAGTAATACAAGTTTCTTACTGGGATACAATTATCAGTAAATGAATAAGTAAATAAGTAAGTAGCATCTGACATTAAAACCCACTGCCAGCTGGTTAGTTTTCTTAGTTCAGTGCACATTTGTAAGCTAGTGGGCAAGCAGCACAGGGCAGAGTGCCATATAAGGACATTTACAGGTATTTGTGAATACCTAGCAGAAGTTTGGTAAAGGTATTATCATTGGTAAAACCTCTTAAGGTTTACACTCAGGTAGACATGCCAACCTTAGTTATAATCTGCATAATAATAGCACCAGCTTTTAATACTTTTCAAATCTTTGAAACAATCTAATCTGAACTCTATAACAAATAAAGCTCTAGAAGGAGCTGTTCTTAATAGATTAAATAATATATAATGCATTAATAAATAATAGTATATATGTATATATGCAATCTCAATGCTCAGCTGTACTATTAAAGGCAGAGATGATTCATGTTCATACAGTAGAAATGGCCCTCAGATTTATAATCAGACAAGAGTGGCAGATGCTAATCTGAAGGAAATGTGGGTTATTTGATTTTCTTTCAGAATATTCTTTCCTGTACAGGTTATTCACATGCTATAACTCTTACAGTACACATGTTTAACACACGACAAAATGTAAAAAATAAGGTAATAGCTTTTTCTAATGTTGATGTAAAACTAACATTTTTCTATTTAAAACATATGATATAGAGATCAATATAGATATGAACCTGCACACACAGATGTACACTACTACTCCCAAGCCACACTAGCCTCTTTTAGGAGACCCTTTGGACTTTGAAATGTAAAAGGTAATTATCTAAAGTATCATAGCTACTAGGCCACAATAGTGAAAAATTACAGTATTTATTATATCTATTAACTTAGGATGAAGCCAACTCGTGTTTTCTTCTTCTATAGGTTTGGAGGATTTAATTAGGCTAGATTCCTACTTCCCAAATCTGTCTCTGAACTAGAGATTTGCCAAAGTCTTTATAACAGAGCCTCCTTCTAATATCAGCTTCTTAAGCCCAAAGTAAATCAATCCATCTCTCTGCCTTCATTTGGCTTAAAATAAATATTAAGAAACTAAACGAATCTTTTATCAAAAGTAGAGACTAGTAGAGTTCTGGAAGAAATGAAATCTTGGGAAAATTACAAAAGTTAATAAACGTAAAAGAAAATTGAAGAAATTTTAAAACAATGTTAAACATGGGCACTTAGGATGAGACTGTTTGATACATCATTTCAGGGCCTGGAAAAAAAAAAGAAAGCGTGATGAAGGAAGTAAGTTAGGTGGACAAAAAAGTCTGCATAACTCCTCCCAGTAGAGATTAAAATATTTTGAGGTTGCAATTTTATGTTTTGATTTCCTTATCTCATAGGCCATCAGCAATTTCACTGGTATACTCAAGCAAAGCAACATTTTTCCTTATAGAACACACACTCACGTCCACAGAAAAAAGTAAAGATGTGGTAGCTTGCCAACAAAAAGAGGTATTTGTAAAGCAAAATAGTATTGATCGACTTTGAAAAAAAAAATCTTTGTGGCCATTTAAGTCACCATGGAAGGCCATGCTGAAAGCAGACTGGTTAAATTGCAGAAGTCAAAGCAAAATATCTTTCTTCACTGGTGTGCCATCTACTGAAAATTAGTAGAAGTTAGTCAAAAGTAGCTAACAGTGAACTCCAGGTGCTAACTTCCCTGAAGCACTATAATAGGAAGTGGTAGAAGAAATTTATGAAAGAAATCCTTAGGGATTCCCCTGTGATCCTTTTAATCCTAGAATTGTCAAACCATGTGGAAAATAATAGATCTGCGTAGTTCTAAGACTTCAGCAGTATTATCTTTTTAAAAGAAAATATCAGGTCTTTTGATATCTAAGGACAAGAATAGAGTATGTATTCAATATAGAAAAGAGTAACTTTGAGCCAGAGATGCATATGCCTTTTTCATGTTTAACACAATATTATTATTATCTATGACTAAGCAGGCTTCATCCGTTAAGAAAGAAAGTATAGCCAATATTTCTTTTTCTTTTTTAAAACAGATGATTCAACGAGAAGCTGATGTAAAAAGCAAGGTAACTGCTGTGGCATTGACAGACTCTGTTCACAATGTGTGGCATCAAGAAGCTGGCAAAACAATCCGAGAATGGATGAGAGAGGTGAGACCTGGTTTTGTTTGGTGCTGAGATGAATGGTGTGAGCCTTTGTATCTTGAGCCTCTGCTGACATACACCACTTCCTACCACCACACTCCCTTCCAGGGGCTGAGCACTGAGACAGAATAGGAAAAGCTAGATGTGGCTAAAGTAATTACAGAAAAATTCTTGAGAAAATCAAATACTTTTTTTAAAGTATCCTCTTCTTCCCATATGGATTTTTATAGGATATTATTTTGTATGTATATATCATATATTAGAACTTTGGCTGAGAAAAGTTTAATATTAGGAAATTTTTATTCCCTGATACTTAACTTTTCCAGTAGTTACTTAACACCAGAACTGCTAAATTGTAAGAAAGATACTTAATAGATACTCACTTTTGTTTTCTGGTTGTGTAATCTGGAGTTACTACTCTGAAACTGATTGGCTCCCTACTGCTCATAATGGGAGAAGTAAAAAAGCTGAGTGGTGTGCCAGACCCTCCAGCTTAGAGAAAAAAAAAAAAACAGCATCTGGCCATCATCCAACCTCAAGCTAAGAAAGCATCTTTTCACAGTTCCTTCCTAAGGGCTGCTGAACCTGAAAAACACAAGGACTCGCCAAGCATGATCTTCTTTGTCAAAACTCTCAGCCTGTTACTTCTTTTGTCCTATTACAGAAATCTAGCTAAATTTTTTCATTTATATCTACCTTTTTGATATTATAAGCACTTGACATCACCCACTTCATAAGAAATCAGTATTAACCACAGTAAACAATCAAGCATCCATATAACTAGTGAACTAACAATCCAAAATATTTTTACTCCAGTCCTCATAATGTAATCATATGAAGCGTTTTTAGATTTATTCTAGCACACAGATGTTTTCTGTCCACATGGCTTTTCATGCTTCTCCTTTTGCAGTCAAGCTCCATGTTCTTTTTTTTCCCTTTGGGTCAGTTATGTGGCATGAACTCTGGGCCTGGGTGCTGTCCTTCAACTCTTCAGCTCAAGGCAAGCACTCTACTACTTGAGCCACAGGGCACCTTCCAGTTTTCTGGTTGTTTATTGGAGATAAGAGTCTCATGGACTTTCCTCCTCTGGCTGGCTTTGAACTGCAATCCTCAGATCTCAGCATCCTGAATAGCTGGGATTATAGGCATGAGCCACTGGTGCCCAACTAGCGTCATGTTCTTAAAAATCTCAACTTTTGAAGAAAAAAGTTAATCTGTTTCTCACCTATGTTTTATTTCCACTAAATAACTTTATTGTTGGTATTAGCATAATTTAATTGTACAAAGAAGTTTCACTTTGATATTTAACTTACATATGTATGATATGCTTTGATCAAATTCACCCCTCTATATTATTTTTTTAACCCACCTTTCTTTTCCCTTCTCATTTTTAAGAGTTTTTGGTGGGTTTCATTATGGTATATTCCTATAGAATATAATGTACACCAATAATATTAATCTCCCTTCACCTTCTCCTTTCTCTACTTACCACCCATTGTTGTCTCCCCACCCTACAACAATCCCCTTTTTACAACCATATCATACTGATTTTTTTAGGTCTAGATTGATAATGCAAGCAAACACGTGCAATATTTGTTTTTCTAACCTTGGCATATCTTGCATAGCATACTAATCTCCATTTCCATCTATTTTTCTGACATAGTTTCATTCTTTGCCTGTATAATACTCCACTATATATAAATGTGCCATATTCCTTTGTACAGTCATTTGTTCCATATTTTGGTAATTGTAAATAGTGATACTATAAACATGAGTATACAGATATCTCTCTTGAATGTTGAATTATATTTCTCTGGCAATATGCCTATAAGCCCAAGCATGGTATAACTGGATCATATGGTAGTTCTATTTTTTAGTTCTTTAAGGAACCTCCATACTGACTTCCATAGTTTTAACACAAATTTGCATTCCTACAAACAATATCTAAGGCTTTCTTTCCTATACCACATCCTGGCCAGAATATCATGGTTTGTTTTCTTGATGATTGCCTTTGTGACTGAGGTGAGATAGTATTTTGTGGTTGTTTTGACTTGCATTTCATTCATAGCTAAGGATGTTGAACAATTTTCTTCATGCCTTTCTTAGTCATTTGTGATTCTGAGAAATGTCTATTTAGTTCACTTGCCCTATTTATTAATTGGATTATTTGTTGTTTTATTGCTTAATATTTTGAGTTCTTTGTAAGTTCTGTATATTCATTTTTATCTAGTAAGTAGATATTAAATAAATATTAGGTGTTAAATAGATATTATGTATTCAATAGGCAAAGATTTTCTTGTATTCTGGAGATTTTTTATTCTGGTCATTGTTTACAGAAGCTTTTAAATTTGATGTAGTCCCAGTTGTCAATTCTTGCTCTTATGTGCTGAGGTTTTAGAAATATTGAAAGATATAAAGATAGACATAAACTACCTGAGTAAGTAATGTATACTTTTTGAGGAGTTGACCCGGTTTTGAACTTAGGGTTTGAATACTTGTTTGGGTTTTTTGCTCATCTGGTGCTTTTCTTAATTTAGTCATGCCTACAACCCAGCTTTTTGCTGGTTATTTTATTGGAATCTAACAGACTTTCTTCACTGTCTGATTTTAAATTGTGATTCTGTGGTTCTCAGCCTCTTCAGTAGCTGGGATTACAGATGTGAGCACTGGAGCCTGCCTCTCATATAAATATTTTAATGCTATTTCTGTGTTCAAATGTATAGATCTACAGCTGCCAGCATCGTAAGTAGTAAGATTAATAAATCAGGGCTAGGAATTTGGCTTATTGATAAAGTGCTTGCCTAGCACATATCAGTCCTTAGGTTTGATTCCTTGGAACAACGTAAACAAAACTAAATGAATAAAATTAATTTTTTAAAAAAGTGTTGGTTATTCTTGAAATAAGTAACTTGGTACAGTTCCCCCACAAAAAAAGATTAATATTAGCTTTTTCCCTACACATACCTGGTCCAAACTAAATAATTATGATTCACTGTAATTTCAATAGAAGTTCTTCATGAAAGTCTCACTCTAGGGGCTAAGTACAGCAAAATTGATTTACGTTTGCTTTATAAACATTTCTAATTAAAGCTGAGTTATTTCCTTCAAAAAAGGACATATTACTCTACACTTTCCATCCAAAGGAATGAAAAAGGAAATAGTTGAATCCATCAAAAATTAACTAATTAATTGATTAAAGGATTATAATTAAAGCAAAAAAACATGCTGAGGGTATGGTTCAAGTGTTAGCACTTAAGTTTAAACCCCAATACCTACCCATAAAAGAATCAACAAGATAATTAATATTTTAAAATGCCACTAGCCCCAAAATACCTTAGCTAAGCTAGAATGTTATCTGCAAAAATAAAACTTTGATAGTAGCAAAAGTCTCAAGTTTATTATCCTCTTGATTAACTTTACTGTTTTACTGAAATCTTCTTTAAGTTTGTAAGTAAAACTGTGGTACAAATTGCCAAGTCAGTACTACTAAAAATAGTACTAAAATAGGATTTTTTTTTGTATGTTTGGCTTAATGTAAGCCATGTTAAGCATTTATTATTAAATATTATCTATTTACTATAAAAGCTATTATCTATAATAAGACTCAATTTATCAAAAGAAAGATTTTAAATATATTCATAAATTACTCTTAATTTTGTTTTCCTTGCTCATGGGGCTTGAATTCAGGCCCTGGCACTGTCCCTGAGTTCCTTTGCTCAAGGCACTATACTATTTAGAGCCACAACTCCACTCTGATGATTAATTGGAGGTAAAAGTCTGAGGGACTTGTCTGCCTGAGACTTAGTCTCCTGAGTAGCTAGGATTAAAGGTGTGACCTAACACCACTCTGCTAACTCATAATTTTTTTAAAAAAATTATTAACGTACATTAATTGTACAAGGGGGATTATTGTAACATTTCCATACATACATACATACATACAGTGTACCCCGTCAACATCACCCCTCCTCTCATTATCCTTTATCTACCTCCTCCTATCTTGTTGTGGTGGGGTTTTTTTTTGGGGGGGGGGTGTTGTGTTGTGTGTATGTGTGTCTATGTGTGTGTGCACGCGCACCCGCACACACATGCTGCCCCCAGGGCTTGATCTCAGGGCCTGGGTGCTGTCTGATTTTTTTTTTTATCAAGGTTAGTGCTCTAACTCTTGAGCCACAGTTTCACTTTCGACTTTTTTGGTATAGTTATTCATTGGAGACTTACCTGCCAAGGCTACCTTTGAACCTCAGTCCTCAGACTTTAGCCTTCTGAGTAGCTATGATTACAGGTGTAAGCCACCAGCACCCAGATCCCCTCTCAACAGGCTTCATCATTAGTTTTCATAGATCTATCTATCTATCTATCTGTCTATCAATCAGTCTGTCTGTCTGTCTGTCTGTCTGTCTGTCTATCTATAAAGCACTTAACCATATTCACCCTCATTTACCCTTAATCTCACCATCTCCATTCCTCTCTATAGAAATGATACCCAACCCCCTAACATATACTGTTTTCCTCTCCTCAACCTCTAGTAGAGGAAAACACACACACACACACACACACACACACACACATCTTTATAAAGTCTAGATTAGGCAAATAAGTGAATGAAAAACATAGTAATTGGCTTTTTGAACTTTGCTTATCTGGCTCAGTATGATGATCTCCAGTTCCACCTACTTTCCTGAAACCTACTCCCACTAAAACACTAAGCATAAGTGTTGAAGAGAGGTAAGAAGTTAATTGAAGGCAGCTATCTCCTCAGAGCTTCTCATGAAAAGATTCCACCACTGTCAAAGCTGACTTGCATGGCTTACTCCTGATATATCCCCAGAGTCTGGAACTTTCCAAGAAGCCAGTAGTATAGTTCTCCCAATGGATCATGAATCTTCCTGTCCCCTCTTAGCTGGATGTGCAGGCCCTACAAATGAAACGGGTAGATGGTAGTGCTATTTGTCTGAGGACAAAAGCCTTTTATATGAAGATTAGGCTTTAAAACAATGATTAGTACAAGTCAGGCACAAGAAATAGACTCAACAAGCAAAGCAAGCTTCTCTAATAACTGAAGCAGAAATAATTACCACCTACTTTTCTCTTTAAGCATACTATGCTAAAGGCTAACATTCTTCTTAAAAATCTCATTCCATTTCATTTCTACTCTGAAGTACTGTCAGCCTTTGGTTCAAAAGTGGTCCCTTTCCACTATGGCCTAGAAACACTTGCAGTTCCAAAATGTTTCAAATTATAAAGAGGAAAATTTAGAAGTACAGAAATAGGAAGAATCACCATCTCAGAGCAAGAAATCTTTTATATTGAAAAAACAACATTAAGAAACAGTCTGTTGCCTATATTTTTATTTGGTTTTTAAATTATAGAAACCCATTTTAGGATAGGGAGAAAGATGTAATAAGATGGGATTTAAACATTGAATTTGTTGGTAATAGTTGTACATATTTCTTTACAGGCTTTTATTTTCCAGTTTTGTGCCTTTTATTTCACTCTATCCTATTATAAGCTTTGTTTAGTTGATCTTCCCTGTTTTCTGTGTACTTATCCCAGTAGTGTGAAAATATCACATGCACATAGATATCCATAAAAAAGTTCAAACTTGGAAAGTTTAGAATTTTTACCATTCTACACAGATACTTTGCCTTTCTGTAGAACATTTGGGCATATTCACTTTAAAAATAGGTGGCTTAACTTCTGTCTCACTTTTTGTGAGAGATCAAAGGCTTAAACTCAAGCCTTGATAAGAACTCAAATTTCAGAATCATAAAACGTTAACCTGTATTTTGTTTGAATTAAAGATGATCTGTAAAAAAAATAGACAAAAGTTCATTTTGTTCAGCTTTTCAAAACCAATAATGACTTAGAAAAATGATTTTGCACTCACGTATTATAATGTGTCATCACTTTTATTAATACTAGAAAATCCTGTAAAACATAATTTTACATAGGTGAGCAGTATTCAGACTGACATATCACCTGGGTAATAACCAACTTTCATCAGATTTGGAGAGAGCAGTATGATGAATAATAATTAAAATATATACCTAATCGCTGCCTGTCTGTTGGTAGTGCTAATTGCTGTCATTGAAAAGACTGAATTGTTTAAGAAAAAGAGAGAAAAAGAGAAAGTCATTCTTCATTGAAGCTATCTCCCTGTATCATTGGGAACCTATTTTTAGTACCTATAGAAGTCATGATTTTTGAATTTATTAGAGACTGTGATGAATGATAAAACAAATCATCCATTTACATATCTTGACACTGCTTTGGAGAATACTTATTTCTTACAAGCTAGTGTTACATTGTATATAAAAGCTAGCTAATTGTGTGCTAATCTTCTGCATTATCTAGAATTCTCTGATGTGGTATTCTGTCAATGGCAATATTAATTTTACTTATTTCAAATGTATGAAATATCTTCTAAAATCCTATTTTCTTTATAATTTCTACTTGCTTACATTGTATAATTTTGCATTCAACTGCTAATTAAGATTAGGAGTACACATTATAGAATATGTATCCATTCTAAAACCATCAAGCTTTGTAATACATGAAAAGTATTTCCATTTTAAATATAAAAATAGAGAACACATTTAAGGACACTACTAGATGTTGTGTTTGTTTTTGTGGGGGTTTTTTCTGCACAGTTCAATAGTTTCATTGATCCACTGTTTCTTACAAAAATCTGCCATGCTTTGTGAACTTCACTTTCTAATCTCATACAGCAACCCTTCCTTTATATTATTCCTGCTCTCTCTGGTCCCAGAACAGTAGGGTTGCCTTGACAAATCTATTCAAAAGCCATTCCTCAGCGTTTATTGGTGGGGACTGGGGCCTTTGAAATTCTCTCCTCACTGCAACACAGCTGACATCTTCTTCCAGACAGAATGAATTAAGGAAATACAATAAGACACTTGATCTACCAGTCAAGGATCTTTCCACAGTGAGAACGGATTCCATGGTGCACAACCAGGGCAGCAAGCATCTAAAAATACACAATACATGCTTGTTTACCAGAATAGCAATCACCAATTTTTCCAACATGATTGATGGGATGATTTCTTTTAAAATGAAATCTGTCTGGAAACTCATTGTGTGTATGTGTGTGTGTGTGTGTGTGTATGTGTGTGTGTGTGTGTGTGTGTGTGTGTGTGTGTGTTGGGAATTTTTAAAAAGTCTTGTAAACCAGATTCAAATGTAAACTTAAAATGTATAAAAGAAATATAGAGTACTTTTATTTGACTGAGTTGCAGATAATCATTACCTTAGAGACTGATCTTTAATGTTGAAAGCTTTCCATCCTAAGACACACTGCTATAATTCATTATGTTGTATTTATGTATTACTGTTTTGATGCAACCTTCACCAGAGCAGGTCAAAGTAAAAATTTAAAAAGGCCAGGTTTTGAAGAGAAAATGCAAAGTTTATTTCTTCTGGTATCTCATAGACAAAGAATAAAGGTCAGAAATTGGCTATTCTTTTACATATTCATATTAATATTTACTTCAAAAGTTTAGAAGACATCTTTTAAATTTTTCTTTAATTATAATCCTTATATTTGTTTATTTCTTAGCCATCTAACATTTCTTGGAAATATATTACATCATGATTCACAGGTTAGGTGATTTCTATTTTTTTATTTTATCTTATTTATATATTTTTGCCCATCCTGGGGTTTAACTCCACCTGGACACTGTCTCTGAGCTTCTTTTACTCAAGGCTAGCATTCTACCATTTGAGCCACAGCACCACTTCCAGCTTTTTTCTGTTTACATGGTACAAAGGAATGGAACCCAGGGTTTTATGCATCCTAGGCAAGCACTCTACCAGTGAGCCACATTCCCAGCTCACATGCTTTTTTGATATCAGCAGATGATCTGCTGATTTGTAAAAGGTAAATTTTACAATAATCTTGACTATTTACCTACCACAAATAAAGCATCAAGAAAATAAATACAATTTCAATAATTTATTTCATGAGATAAGTTTACCTTTTTTTTGGTTTAAATTATGTTCCAACAATATGTTCTGTGTTACATTGCAGAACTGCTGTAATTGGGTTTCTAGCTCAGAACCGTTAGACACATCTGTGGAGTCCATGCTGCCTGACTGTCCTCGAGTCTCTGCAGGTATGTGTTTGATAAAAGATGTGGTGGGTTAAGGTAAAAGTACAGGGAAATTTAGAATCCTATTTTGGAATTAAATATATTGTTGAATACATTATTAATAATATACAGCGTGTTTCTAATCCAATGCCTAAATGTGTTAAGTTCTATAAAATACATACCAACAAAGTCAGTAAGATGACTAGGTGGGAAAATGCAGGGCTAATATAGATGGTTGCTGCTGAAGCTTAGAGGTAATACAATGTGTAAGAGACACAGTGAATAGCCATACAGAAATTTTCAGAGGATATTCGTCTCTGAGCACAAGCCCTTTGATATGTTGGTAGTCAAGGCTGTTCTGTGGCCTAGAGTCTTTAGAAAAAATAATTTTTAGTGAATAGATTGTAGCTGAACCTTGTGTGCTAGGTAGAATTTGGATTCTAGGAAAATGGGTAAGCTAGACTTCCCAGGCAAAAGGGAAAGAATAATGCAAGGAGTGAGGCTGAACTGGATCTGAAGAGGTACACAGATTGGCTCACCTACTAAAGGAAAAAGGTCAAGAGTTAAGCACTTCCAAAAGCAAGTGGGCTCTGGTTAGTGTAGGGATAGAATTATTTTCAGCCTACCAAGTCTGTGCTTGAGTCTCTAGGTGAGAAAAGAGTAGCATTTGTTATTGTTTTCTTATTTTGACTTTAACAGCTCCCAACCATTTTGGGTGACAACGAAAATATCTAGTTATGACTAATAAACAGCCGTGAGCTTGATGTGGTCATAATTACTGGAAAATGAGCGCAGGCTTGGAACCTAAATTACTTTATTATAATCATGATAAGAGATTGTTAGTCATTAAGTAATTAGAGTTGTTGATATGTGTACATATTTGATGGAAATGGTTAGAAGTATAGTTCAAATTCTAGGGTAATAAACTATTATCAAATATCACTATCATTAATACATAAAGTTCAATTGAACTTCACTTTTATAACAATTTTATAGATTTGTTAAGGTACAGAAAAGAGAACAATTAGGAGATTAGAGAAATAGAGATGATAGATAGAGATAGAGAGATAGATAGATAGATAGATAGATACATACATACATACATACATACATACATGGACAGACAGACAGACTAAATCAGTACAGCAGTGGGTTTTCAACTAATATTTGAGGGAGGCTAGTTAAATCATTTAAACAGGAAGACAGGAGGGAAAGTTGGATGTAATAGGACAGAGAAAGAATGAACTACAACCAACCCATAAGTATACCTGGGGTCTATGAAGGTGTAGGTGGAGCAGCTAAGCTGTGTTCACACTTTTTTGTGAACCACAAAAACTCAGATGATAAATGGATATGTTTTATTCACCAAGTTTGGGGTGATTTGTTCCAAAAAGTCAAGGTTAAACCAAGTCTAGTGGTTACTCTGGAAATAGCCTTTATTTTTTCCCTCCCCTCTCTTCCTTCCTCCTTCCCTGCCTCCCTGCCTCCCTGCCTCCCTGTCTCCCTGCCTGCCTGTGTGCCCTCCTTCTGTCCTCTCTTCTTTTGTTTTATTGAGGCTACAACCTTTTAAGGTTAATCTTAGTTCTAATATCTTAGAAATTCAGAGTACCTCCTTCCAAAGGACATTAAAAAGCTCATTGAAGAATTTAGTTTATTTCTACACTTGGTCTTCTACTCCTTAGCTAGAATTTGCTGACAATTTTATTAGAAAGAAAATATTTTCTTCTTTATCATACTCATTTGATCTTATATTATAAGTCATCTTATTTATTCAGCATTTGTCTGACCAGTTGTTTCTTATGACAGAACTTTACTGTGTGGAACTTTATCTCTGTGGGTTCGGATTCCAATAAATTTGTCTATATCAATAAGAGATTTTATGCTGGGCAGAGTGATACATACCTGTAATCCCAGCACTTGGAACCCAGAAGCAGTAAAAATGTAAGCTCAATCCAGCTTAGGCTGACTTAGTGCACTTTTAGACCTTCCTGGACTACATAGTGACACTCTCATCTCTAAATAAATATATGTGTATGTATTCACACATGTATACTCTACAGTACATTTCCATCCAATTTTCAAATATTTGTTAGGCATGGAATAAGCTTCAACACTATTTGCAAACCGAAGACAGCAATGAATAAGAGCTCATAGTACCTAATGTATTTCTTATCAAAGTTTAGAAAACAAAGAAAAGAATACGTTTTCTCACTCTTCTGTTAGTAGGTAAATTCCCTTTGAAGCTGCTATCAATATGTGATTGTGTCAAATGAGAAAAGAATTAGGGCCAAACCCACAGCACTATCCATACTTGCTTACAGAAAATTAGTTATTTCCTTGAACAAGTCATTAAAATATGTTGAATAAGGGCTATCTAGTAAATAAATGCATAAAAGGAAGGAACGAAAAGGCAGAGGGAATAGGCTCAGCAGGTTACAAATTACAGTGGTGGCAACGGGAATGGAGAGCATATGAAAACAAATAGACTCATGAAGAACACACATTCCTTGATGATAAATAGATTAGATGTGGAAAGGGAGGAGGCCATAGTGAGCTGCAGTATAAATGTCTAGGACAATGAAAGTATCATTACCAGAAGGAGAGAGCTAGAGGAGAAATCAATTAAGGGCAAGAGTTGGTGAAATTGTTTTATGACCTGTTTGATTGAGGTGATGGTGGGAAATTCAAACAAAAATAACCAAAGGTTGTTTTTCAAGTACCTTTGAAACACTCACAGTTCTCTGACCAATAGTACTGTAGTCTGTACCTTAAAAATCATTTGAATATTTCATTGTGTACTGACCACAAATTAGTAAAGGATATTCAGACTATATATTTAATTTAATGAAGTCTTTTTTTGAGCTTGTTAAACTATTAGCTTTTTTTCTTGGTATAATATGCTTTTATCTTTTGAGTGAAAATGCAAATGATAGCAGTAAGCTTGCTTTGCAAATGCATAGCCATTTTTCTTATTTTTTTAATTGTAAAAAATGTTTACAGAGGAGTTACAGTTGCATAGTAAGGCAATGAGAACATTTTGAGCATTGCTACCCCTTCGCTTGTTGTTCTCCCACTATCCCTTCCCTCCTCTACCTTCCCAGCTCTTCCCCTGACCCTCCCGAAGTTGTAAAGTTCATTACCAATATACTGACTTGTGGGTATCCTTGTTGCAATGGGTCATCCTGTGTCCTTGTTTCAGCTTTTTGTTATTCCCCTTCCCCTCCCTGAATTAGACAAATGTATATATAAGATGCAGGGTACCAAAATCAAGTATAGTGACAACAGGAAATATACCATAGGGGGAAGAACATACAAAGGAAACAAAAAAAAAAATCACATAGCATCTTAAAACAACAACAAAGAAAGACTACTTGTGTCCATATCTAGGGGTTCATTTCACTTAGCATCATCTTATTGGTCATACGCACATAGCTTTTCTGCTCATCTGATAAAATTATCCTATACATATACTAATTATTACAAATGAGGGAAACCATGGGACTTATATTTCTTTGGGTCTGACTTACTTCACTTTATATGATTTTTTTCCAAGTCTTTCCATTTCGCAACAAATGGGCTGTGTCATTCTTTCTGATGGAAGTATATGTAGCACATTTTCTTGATCCATTCATCTACCGAGGGGCATGGGTTGGTTCCATATCTTGGCTATGGTAAATAATGCTGCGATGAACATGGTCATACTGGTGGGTGGTGGATTTCGTGTGGCCTTGTTTGTGGACATTTGGGTAGATTCCCAGAAGTGGGATTGCTGGATCATAGGGGAGTATATGTGTAGTTTTTTGAGGAACCTCCACACTGCTTTCCAGAGTGGTTGAACAAGTTCGCACTCCCACAAACAATATAGTAGTATTCACCTTTCCTTGCATCCACACCAGCATCTGTTCTTGTTAGATTTCTTGATTATGGACATTCTAACTGGTGTACGGTAGAATCTCAATGTTTTGATTTGCATTTCTTTTATAGCCAGAGATGTTGAGCAATTCTTCATGTGTCTCTTGGCTATTCACATTTCCTCATCAGAGAGGTCTCTCTTAAGGTCTTTAGCCTACTTTTTAATGGGGTGGTTGTTTCTTTGGGGGCTTGTTTTGGGGGAATTTAATTTCTTGAGCTCTTATTATATTTTAGATATGAGACCCTTGTCTGCTGTATGGGTGGTGAAGATCGCCCAGTCTGTTGGGTTACAATATATTTTGCTAGCTATGTCTTTTGCTGTGCAGAAGCTCTGCAGTTTAATGCAATCCCATATATCCAGCCATTCTTTGATTTGTTGTCTTTCTGGATCTTTATTAAGAAAATTTCGGCCTGTGCCAAGGAGCCCTAGTGTTTCTCCTGTTACTTTGTGTAATATTTTCAAGATATCTGCTTTTGCCTCGAGGTCTTTTATCCATTTGGAGTTGATTCTCGTGCAGGGTGATATATAAGGATCTAACTTTAGCTTTATATACATGTTTAGCCAATTCTGCCAGTACCATTTATTGAAGAGACTGTCTTTCTTCCATCCTATTTTTTTTTGCTCCCTTGTCAAAGATTAGGTGTCTGTAGGTCTACGGGTTCATTTCTGAGTCTTAGAATCTAATGAACAGGCCTGAGGAGGCCTGTTCTTGTACCAGTAACAAGCTGTTTTGAGTACTATGGTACATAGCCATTTAATATTTTTTTTTTACTGATGATTAAGTCGATTAACTATAAACAAGAAAAAAATTGATTGTTTTTATAATAGATTCCTTTTATGAGTGATATTAATAAATTAAAAGCAGGTAAAGTAGACATTTATAATTTTACCTAAATTATAACCAGTATTTTTTTTCATACTGTTTTTGTTCTTATTTTTAAAAGAAAATATAATATTTGACAATTCAGCTCATAAGAGTTGTCATTATTGGGCCTTATACTTAAATATGTCTGACTTATACATGGGTATGTTTTTATATTATTATAACCTGTGAATGGTAGATATTTGAAAAGTCTTGAGTCTCTGATTTATTAATCTGTTCTTATTGATT